AGCACTGGTTAAATACCACTGTAAAGAGGTGTAGTGGTGAGGGATCTTCGACATGCTTGCGAAGGCGTGGAAGCTGCCAAATCGATGCGGGGTCCATCAGCACGCCGTCTTCCTCTCTGTAAGCCACACCAAGATCCTCTGGGTGCTCCCCGAAGACCAAAACCACGTGGCCAGCCGGGGTGACCGGACATTGCTCCAATGCATCTAAGACATCGAGCATGAACTCGATGAGAACATTCCCCAACTCCGCATCCTTGGAGTGCTTCCCCGACAGCCATGGAAATCCCCAGACGTACTGTCTGGATCGAATCATTGGAGGCCCCCTGCAATTTGCTCCTCGCACTCTGGACCATGTGGAGCACGGGGGCGTGATCAGCACCACGTCGAACTCTCCCGACTTGATGCGTTGCAGTAAGGAGCTTTGCGCGCCTCCCTTTGTCAGATCCCACTCAGGGGAGTTCTGGATATCCACATCGTGTATCTCACACTCGATGCCCTGCTTCTTGGCCAGTTGCTGCAACACCGAGGTCACCGAAGTCTTGCGCTGCGCTCCACTGAAGAGGTACAGCACCTTCATCCTTCTCACTTCACGTATGCCCCTCGTTGTGCCCTGTTGCTCCGGTGGGCTTGGGGCTTGGCTCATATATGTGCACATGCCTGACAGGGCTACCATGCTCTCCATCTCAAACGCGAATCGACCGAACCAAACACAAATCAAGCACAGTTGAAAGCAATCATCTTTAGCGACTCCCCGAACCTCTTGCACATCCTACTCAACCCTCTACCGTGCACAGCATCTCAATCTCACTGCCATGCACCCGCCTAAGTGCAGCAAGGTCCCTCTTTTCAGCATGAGCTCCACTCCATCAACTCACGCCGATGGCTCCGCCTCCGATTCCACCGAATCTGACGGGGTCACTTCCCCGGAACTCTCTTCTTCCGGAGAACCACTTGCTACGGCTGCATCTTTGCCGAAGCAATTCTTACAAGCAGGGTACATGCTGGGCTGGGGAGGTTCATCTCCCAGAATTTCAAATTGGGAGTAATGCAAGCCGGGTTGCCTATGGCACTCCCCAATGCGATGCAACGTTCTGGTTTTCGAACGTCACACTATCGACACAACAAACGTGCCAGCCACCTTCTCGGCCGGCACCACACTTGCCCCTTGTGCTTGCTCCTCCTCACCTTCCGACTCGAAGCCACCGTCTCCGGTGTCGTTGGCCACGTCCTTCACATCTTCGCCCTCCTCGGGCTCAATCAAAACCACAGGGACCGTGGGCGTCCACTTCGGCCTCCATGATGGCTCAACTGCCAACTCCTCCGGATGGAAGGACTCGAGAAGTGCTGCCTGCCACTCCATCGCCTCATCTGCAAACCCCAGCAGACCCATCTTGACGCTGACTGCCTCTAGCACTGCTGCTTCATCGTCCCGCAGGAATGCTGCTATGATCTTTTGGCTTCTCAAGATATTGGCTCTAGCCGTCCGTTCATAGCCTTCATCGGCGGCTGGACGCCACCTTCCCATCTGACGCCTGATGTCAGGCGGGATCCTTGCAGCCGATGCCCACGATCTCAGGGTCGCACGTTCGGAATGCTCTGTCCACAGCGTGCCCACGCCGTCGAACAACAGGGATGGTCTCTTGCCACTCTCCATGGTCCATAGCTCCCCAAACAAGGCTTGAGACATAGCGGATGCTGTCGAGTAGTCCGCCATCCGCCGTGCAAACCCTGTCCTGCCTCTCGTAGGCCAGGTCAACATAAAATCTCTCTTCAACATGCCTGCCTCCATTCCCATGTGGTTCCATATCTTCCAACCCACCTCCAACCAGTTGTAGCGGGAGACCCATGCCTCCCTGCTCACATAGAAAGGCAGGAGCAAGATCCGTTTTCCCGGCCCCGATGTTGGACTTGTGGATAATTCCCACTAGGTGGTTGTCTCGAAGCTCCATGCTCCGATTCGGGGTCCCCCTGGTGTCATCGAAGCGAAGGCCAGCCCACACTTTGACCAGGCGATACCAAGCATAGGCCCTCGAGAAGGGCATTGCATCGTCATCCACAACCATCTCTTCCATTGCAATGATCACGGCCAGCGGGAGCAACAAGGCCTTCCTCGATGGCTTTATCTCCACGGAGGCCAGCCTGAGCTGTGCCTCCTCCAAGGCATTGCGCACACCCGACGAACGGTGAATGAAGTCCCCCTCATCCACCTCGCCAGCGTACTCCATGAACATCAAGGTCTTGTAGGCCGCCTCCGGTGCTGAGCGAGCACATGGCTCTTGCACAATGGCTTCAATGTATTCTGCAAACTCTGATGCATTCGCAGGCCAGGGCTTGCCATAGGTGGACTCCAGCCATTGTGCCACTTTCTGCCATGTTTTGACATGCTTTCTCAGCGTGTTCGGACGACGCCCTTTTGCTATCCTCATCATGAGCGAGTCCTCTGTCGATCGGAGTGCCACCGGGAGCTTCGCCCTCTTCATCAGCTCCCTCAACTCCGCCAGCCAACGATCCCGCTCGGATCTCTCCGCCATCTCCCTCAGGGCCAGGTCAGCGCCAGCTAAATGCAACTTCTTCCCCAAGCGTGTCGGCCACTTGAAGATCTTGGCCGTGCCCACCAGCTTGACGCGCTCGACGACCCAGCCCTTCGAGCACCTTCCGGCGCTTCTCTCGCTGGTGCTCCAAGTGCGCCTCCAGCAAGTCTTGGGACCCTCGCCCAGCATCGGCTTGATGAACGTTCGCCGACCTCTTGTCGCATTGGCCGACCAACTCCTTCAGGCCCGCGACGTCCTGACTGAAGGTTTCCTTTCTTCTCCTGGCAGCTACGAGGATGCTCTCAAGTCCCTTCTCTCGGCACCCAGCCAAGGTGGCCAATTTCGTAACCGTCAATCCTCCCTCTGCCAGGAGCTGCAGGTCTGGATCAGTCCAGCCTGCAAAGGCACGCGCCAAATCATCCATCGCGGCGTAAGCTCGACCCCTCCTATAGCTTCATCTCCTATAGCTTTAAAGGGGGGTTCGAGCCGCGAACTAACGCGAGTCGCTTAGTGACAAACCCCATGCTATGCATGAGTTCTCATACTACAGTATATATTTGCAGCTTACTTGGCTAGGAGAAGGCGGGGGCACTACTTTTTAAACATCGCGCACTTTTCCCTCCTCAAATTGTCTTTCTCGGCAGCCGTGTGGCCTTATACTTTTTTGGGGCCTGTGACTTCCCCCTTGGCAACTATGACTTTGGCTGCTCCGCAGTTGTTCCATGAACCCACTTCATCATCCTTCGGGCGCGGGCGGCAGCAGTGAAATTAGTGACAAAAGACATTTCAGCAGCAGCAGCAGCAGCAGCAGCCCTGGCAGCAGCAGCAGGTGGAGCAACAGGAGCACTTCGAATGAAAAGCTGCACACACCGTGCAGCACCACATCCGGACACACAACACAACGCAGCAAAAGTGATTCCTCAATCTACAATAGTCTTGCCTGGCCAGTGAAACTGCAACCACTTTCTTCAGCCACAGAGTCCAGGTTTCGAAGCCAGTGCCACCATCCATAAGGCCTCAAATCTCAACGATGCCCCCCATTGAAGTGAAAAAGTGGTGTGATATTGTCTTATCGTGCGGCAGTTCTGTTCAGAACAAGATGCAAGTACAGGAGGTCACCGGCCTGTGTCAACTGTCATCTCATGTCATGAGACAATGCAATATTAGGATCTTGCCTAAATCTTGCGTTCTGATCTTGTGTTTTTTTGGATCTCGGTCCTTCAGTGTAGCGAAGTGTCCGACCGCATCTTTGAATTTGGGGAAGGCGGTCAAGTCAGCGTCAAGGGGACTGCCAACCATTGACCTTGTGCAAATACCACAAGGTAGAGTCACAAGCCGCAAACTGCACGGAAAGAAGCCAAAACGGACAGCAACCAAAAGCACATGGATGATCTGCGAAAAGTCAGGACACTGGCGATCACACGGGTGTGTTGTTGGGAATGGATATAGCCGTGGGTAGTCCACGAACGGGTAGACGACAATCTCCTTCAACCCTCTGATCTGACATGGATCCAAACGCAAACTTGCATCGAATGGTTCTAGCAAACGATGCAATATCGAAGCACTGAATCTTCTTATATACTTCTTTACAGTCTTGGCTCGTGCCTCGCCTGGAAGAACAGGTTCTCCCGCTCATCGAAGTGAAGTGGAGTTTCTGCTCCAAGCATTCCAATGAAAAGCTCCTCAGCCAGCAGGCAGCAAAACCAAAGAACAAATTTTCCTTTTCACAGACTTTTGACTGAACAACTGTCCAGCTCCAATTCCCATTCAATCCACTCCACTCCCAATGCTCCATAGCTGAGTCAGCGTCATTGGAATCTGGTAAGCCCCAGCCACACTCAGCACTGATGCGAATTGGCAATTCCCACTTCCAAGAAGAAAACTCCTGCCAGGGGTGGAGTACCAGTCTGAGGGATCGGGATAACGCGCTCCTAGAGAACTTGATCACCCAGTGGGAAATTGAATAAAGAAAATAAATATATACTGTGCTCCTCTGCCATTTCACTGTGACCCGACAGCGTTTCTTGCAAATACATCCGGGCATTTGAGCCTGGAGCATGGCCACATGGAAGCGCAGAGTGTGGCCCGGTGGTTGAAACAGTTCCAGTTCCTGTTCTAGATCCCGTTCCAGTGCCAGTGCCAGTTCCAGTTCCACGCAGCGGCAGCGGGGGGTCCTGGCCTTTCATGTAGATCTCTTCTGCTTCTTGCAGAAAGTCACCGAAAGTCTCCTGGCCAGAATCCACGCTGCTGGAGACTGAGAAGGCTTTAAGCATAAAGCCCGGTAAGCAATCTGGTCCAAAATCACTGAAAGCAAAACAAGCTGAAAGCAACATGATAACAATAAGGTGCTGCAACATAGAGCAACTGTAAAACTATAAGTTTCTTTTGCAGCGTCTGCCTGCCTGCACTTCTTCCACTGGATTTCTTGGCGAGCGGCAAAGTGCAAAACAATTCTCTGTTTAGCTCAGTTCAGTCAGGTGGCTGGAACTCAAACTTTCCTGTGTTCTTCTTGATGTCAAAATATCCTTGGACTTTTAGCTTAGTCGTGACATGAAAGGGTACAAGCACCAGCCAACAGCTGCATGCAAGGTTCTGAACTTAGAGCTTGAGGATTTCTTCACCAAGACCTTTCATCCAAGGATTCGATGTTCAATGCCGAAAGCCAAAATACCCGTCCGACATGCCCGAATACTACTACTATGGGCCTCGCTACACCGAACTTCCACTAACAACCTCTGAGAACGAACTTCTTGGCAATTGAAGGCCGAGCCTTCCTGTCGTGCAGCAGGCTGCTGACATGTGAAAGCGCTGACCACTTTTCGACCTGAACTCGCTCGTTTGGCACTATTCTGCACTCGTTTTAGGAACAGCCTCTATCATCTCAGACCCCTCTACGATGAGAGGGGTCCCAGCTGCAGATTGTAACTTCATGATGTCCACAACCTGCATTTGATGAAGTCAAAGGATGTTGCTGCCTGCCCCAACTGCCTGCCCCAACACGACCCAACTGAAACACATTGTTCATTCTAGCAGGATCTAGAAAGTATGCCTTGGATGAGCAGAATGACGACCGTTGACTGATATCAAATCTGCAAATTGCAAAGGTATGATACGTTCTTGTTCTTCCCTGCGGCATGGCACTCTTGTATGCTCACCTAAGAACCTGCGCCTCAAAAGGCTAGACTAGACTTAAACGTCACTGGCTGAACAATGAATCGCTACCGACTACCTAGACCTAGACTTACACTTCTGACAGCATTGGTCTGCACGATTGGCTTGTGGCGAGCAAACCACATCTTGTTCGTGCCTCTTGCACGTCGGTGAAGTGAACCCTCCTCACACAATGTGGAAAAACGCGGAAGAGGTTGGTGGCGGCGGCGTTTGCGGAGGAAGTAGGTTCCCCCCTTGCATTCTGCGGAGACAAGGCCACAAACATCGCTGCATGTGTGTCTTTTGGCACAGCACAAATCTCCCAGCTTTGTTCTGTCCAATTTACGGTGTCCCTTTTCCAGGGTACCCCGCAAACTGGACCACTGTAAACAAAGCTGGGGGATGTGTGCTGTGCCGAGGGTCATGAGCCTCCATAGGGCTGGAATCATCTTCAGCACTTGAAGGTTGGTAGATGCTGTTAGAGTTACGTTTCTCAACGCATCACATCCAACAAAAGAGTCGGCACTGCCGTGAAATCGTGACCTTCAAATTTTGGCAGCATAGACTCTGGCATAGACCCCAAACAGTTTCAGCATACGTTTTTTTTTTTTTGCATCAACTCCTTGAATTCCAATATTGGGTGGAAACAGCTGGGATTATATTCAGAACAGCATGTAACCAACGGTATAATAGTCAAGAAAAAGCGCGGAGCGCCGTCCAAGATGTCAAAACCACCGAGGCCAAGTCCGAGGCAAGTGTCACGAGCCAAAGTTTGAAGAAAGCATTCTGGGGGATGTCTGCAAATGTGCCACATTCACACTACATCAGGGGCACAGATATGGCAAGCACTTGGACTTACTTGATCTTACCTCCATACAGCAAGAGGAAAGCAAAAATTGTCATTCCAACGCCCAGCTGCACATTTCCCCAGCCATAAGTTCCAACCCCAACCTCTGTCTAAACAAGTCCAATTCTGATGTTCAACTTCGACTAGGCTGAACTCATTGCTTCAAGGGTCTTGGGAAAGCTATTTGGGTTGCACGGTGAACGCAACGCCCGCAAACTATGGAAGTCAATACTGGCCACGTTGACCACATGCGATTGATACGAAAAGCTGGTTTAGAGGACAAGGCCCAGCTTGACCAAGCTATGAGCTATTGAAAGCTCCTCTTCAGCTTCCACAGCAAAGGCCTTAAAGGACAAGGCTACTGCATTCTGCAGCTGGGTCGCCCAACCTTTCTAAATGCAAAACTGGGGCCAGTCTGGTCTCTTCCGAGTCTGTCAAGCTCTGTTTCTGGAAGGGTGTGGCTGTTTGCTCCCACTTCCCGAATTACCAGGTCAACACAAACAACCTCTAGGGGAGTATATATATATATGTATACATATAGCCGCTGGGTTCAAAGGCCCTAAAGCTCGGGCTATCGGGGGCCCTAGGCCGGCTGTGAGTGCGGACTCTGACCGGTGTCGACGAGGAAGAGTCCGTACTCTTCTCCCGGTGCATCTTTGTGTTGGTGTCTTTGTGACCCGCCCGTTGCTCCTTTGCCATGGACACTGCTTTGGTGCTCGATCTGGCCGACCAGGTCTTAGCTGGATCGACGAGGACTTTGTTCAGGTCTCTCCTTCATGACCTTTCAGCGGCCACTTTTCCGCTGCAGGTATGTGGAAGAGCGTTCATCGCTGGTGGGGCTATTTGCTGCGCAGGTGATTCGATTGAACTTAAGCCTCTCGCCTTTGCCCCAGGCAAAGGCTTCCACCATGCTGACTCAGTCCCTGACAAGGTTGTGGTCACTATGCCGGAGCTCACGGCAAGATCGATTCCAGTTTGCCCAGGTGCACAGTTGATCTGTTGTGGCACACTGCTCTCCTCACCAAAGTTGCACATTTACAACTTTGCTCATTCAGCCTCAGTCCACTCTCGCCCGGAACTTGACTGCACTTTTGGATGGGATTGCACCCACCTATTTTGCGGAGGCCTCTGTGGGTGGAGCCAAGCGATGGAATGGCTCCCGAATGCTGGTTTCGGATTCGCCATTGGACGTCAGGTATTTGTGGACCATGATGAGACGATCCTTCAGCTGTGCAAGGCCCGCCATAAGTGTGAGCTGCTTCGTTGTCCCATCCGACCAAATGAACCCTGGAATCCAGCTGGGAAGATTGCCATTGTGGGTGACGTCGCCGACCCCACTATACCGTTTGTCCATAGATGCCAGGTCAACCTCATGTGCACGCTTTCACCACCATGCCAATCGTGGTCGAAGGGTGGCAAGTCATGGGGTCTCATGGATCCAAATGGATGGTCCTTTGTAGCTGGTTTGGAACAAGTTTTCATGCTGCAACCCATCCTGGCATGTGCCGAATGTGTGGACGAATTGGCATCGCATGCTCACTTTAAACTTGTACAGTGTATAGCTACCATGTTCGGGTACAGAATGATTTGGTCACAGATCGTCCCTTACCATGAGTTAGCTCACCACTGCCGAACGAGGTGGTTGTGTGTATGGGTTCGTGCCGACATCCCCGCAGAGTCTCTTGGATTTAGCCTGCCATGCTCCATCGTGCCAAGAGTCCCGTGGAACGATGATCGCTACCAGTTCTACCTTCCTAAGGTCTGGAAAGAACAAGCGCGATTGAGCAGTTCGGAAGCCGCCATTTACAATGATCCGCAACTTGTTCCAGCCGCAAAGAGGGCAAAAATTGCTGCCTCCTCACGACCTGATGCTGGCCTGCAGGGCCGTCTCGCCTGCCCCACCGAGCCGCTCCCTACGCTCTGCGCTTCGTATTCGAGCCAGCACCATTTGGCTAGTGAGCATTTGCAAACAAAAGGCATCTTCGCAGTCCTCAAGCAACAGGATGGCTTTTACTGCTTTCTCGATCCGGCCCACTTTTGCAGCTTATTCGGTCTCCTTGCAGAACTTGTGCTGCCGAGCAAACTTTCGCTTGCGTTCAAAGTGGTAGGCAATGCAATCACTATTCCACATAGTGTCATGTGCATTTGTGTCGGTCTGTATGCAGTACTGCCTGAATCCATTGATCCTGTCTCTATCATGAGAGATGCTTGGGAGCATCGACTGACAGCCCAGTCGGCCGTCCTTTTCGAGCAAGGTTCGTTTGTCCGTCTCATGCCTTCAGCACAATAGTGCACCAGTGCCTGACTCCTAAGGTCATCTCTCAAGGACAAGGTGAATGGCGTGGTCAATTCAGTCTTGATGCCTGGGCTACGACCCTGGAGACCCGAGCTACATCCAAGGCCATCTTCATTGAGGTTTTGACTACCGTCCTCGATGGCCCTGAGGGACTTTTCCAGCAGTGCTCCTTGATCTCTTCTGGGAGCAAAGGCAGCATCGCGATGAGCTTGCGAGAGCTTGCGGCTATTGATGATGATTGGGAGCTCCTTGTTGTCAGCGTATGCCTTCTTCGGTGCCGTTTGATCTTGCAGCCAGTTGGTCAACCTTTGACTACATGTGCCACCAAGGGTCCATGCCCTGCTACAGTGCCCATCATCGACCTTGTGAATGATGCTATTGAGCTGAAGCTTCCTGGAACCTTGGAAATGTTTGGGGCTCAGAAGTCTTCGTAAAGCTCCTTGAGATCATGAAACCGATTGACTTCGTGAAAGGATCTGAGCACTTCCCAGTTTATGTGGTCCATCACTTGCTACCAGGAGCTGTCCGACTTGGCTGTAATCACGCCAACTATGATGAAGTCCTTGCTGGTATGCAACGCTTGCTCTCATCCAATGAGCGGTTGACTACGACCTTGGCTCATGAAGGGGTCGCTGACTCCAGCCCCTCCTTTCGCATCATCCATGTCTTTGAGCAGCTGGCGCCGAGTGATGGCATTGCTGTTACTGTTTGCATTCCCGCAGAAAAGCATGTGATGCACTCTATTGTTGGCAGTGCTTCGAGGCCTCTTCCCACTTTTCAGTTTCGAGGATTCCTACATGAGGTTGCTTGGATCAATGAAGCACCGAGTGACCAATATGATGGTCCTCTACAAAATGGTGCCCTCTTGAGCCTCCAGAGAAGCCATGAGATTCGTGCGGGGGGTCACCATCTTTCCTCAGGTGCAACACCAACATTGGCTGCAGGCGCTGACTTTCAGGCACGGGCTGAATATATGTGCAACACGCATGGTTGGATTGCTGCAGATGAATTGTGGAGCATCGCACAGAACATCATGTTCATGCAGGACTCATACAAGTTCACTGCACCAGTTTACTGGAACCAGCAAGATTCTGACTTCACGCTGTCACCATTTGGAGAGCTCTACTTGCTCAACAACACCACCAATGTGATTTGCGTGTTGGTTGATGACCATTGGGCAGCCATCGAGATCCGCAGAACTGCTGATGCTGCAAATCTCAATTTTGTGCAACTTCCACAACACCTGCAAAATGCTGCAACTCGTGTCGTGGCTAGGCTCTTGGACATTGCGCCTCATCGGCTGTCGACATCAAGTGAACATGAGGAGCATCTTCCCCATCTATGTGGATGGCGCCTAGTGCAGAGGTGGGTCCAACTCTTTGACCTAGCCGATGACTTCCAGCCCGAATCCTTTGCTGGTGTTGCTGATCGTTTTCGTGACATCATCACAATGACCATGGAGTGTGCATTGGAAGACTGGAGAACGTACAACGCTCCTCCTCCTCTGGCTCATCTGGCCGCCCTTTTGCGCAAGAAGTTTCTGATCTTCCTGGCAAGAAGAGAGTCTCAGCAGAATCCTATTCCACAGAAAGAACTCGTCGCTGCTTGGCCAGTCAGACTGTCGCCGCTATCGTCCACTTTACCAACTCCACCGCTGTCTGCTGAAGAGGTTGCAGCTAACCGGGTGGCTACTCGCTTGGAACACATGCTGACATACAGTGGCTGGATGGCAACTGATGAAATGGACTTCTCCCTTGATGTGGCCAGAATCATCCAGCCATCTACTCTGTTTTGCGCCCCGGCAGTGTGGAATTTGACTACGCGTGCGTTGGAATTCCCCAATGGCTTGATCCCAGAGTATGGCACGTACAACCATGTGATTTGGATGGTCATCCACAACAACCACTGGCTGCAATTTGAGTGCTACCGTCGAGGGTCTGATTCGGTCTTCATTGCCTCAGTGCCGATTTCCCAGCGGGGAATTTATGTGCCCTTGATTCAGCTGCTCCTTCGCCACCTTGGGCTGGACCATCAGAACATTG